GATCAGGTTTGTAAACTATTTATTTGATTGGTTGGTTTATTTCTAGCACTGTTTGGAACATTCTGCATTCCAGAACACATTTGTTTGGTGTGACCTACATGTTCACCTCACAGGTGCTTTTTGCCACCAGTGGGGCTATAGATAATTAAAGTACTATGTCAGTGACAGTGATTTATACGTTTGCACTTTATTAAGTAGGTTGTTCAGTAAATGAATCTATCATACATAACCTGTAAACCTTGTTTAAAGTGATAGCAAAGCGCGTAGTCAAGGGGCTATAAATGTCTAAAATGAGTTCTAAAATGGCGATAGCTGCAGATTCTTTTCTGATTTTAATTCGAGGACTTCTATCTAAAAAGCAATGGGTAAATATGCTCAACTGATGATCAACTCCAGAATTCTACACAGGCAGGTGAACTACTCATGGAAATATTGCAGCCTTATTAACCTAACAAGTAAAATGGGTTCACTGCAAATTAAAAAGATTTAAATTAAATTAGGAACCTCATACGCTTGCTGGAAATATGGTAGTACACTAGGTGGCAATGGCAGGCTATGATTGCAGGGGGTAACTTAGCAGATGGGTGCCAAGAGAAACTTGTTTTTATCTAAATGCTCAAAAACAAAACTGGAGGAATGACAACTATGTTAATTCTCCCTCTTTACTCCACCAAGACTGGATAAAACAAAGACATCAAATATTGCCAGATGTCCTGACCCAAGACACAAGAGCAGCCCAGAGCCAGTATGTGCATACTGAGATTGTCCACCCATAAACATGCAGGATAGCACACTGTCCGTACATATGTAGAATAATGCTGACACATTCCAGGCACATGCAGGATAACATTCACAGTTCCAGACACATGCAGGATAACACTCACAGTTCCATAAACATTCAAGATAATACTCGCAGTTCCAGACACATGCAGGATAACACTCGCAGTTCTAGACACATGCAGGATAACACTCACAGTTCCATAAACATTCAAGATAACACTTGCAGTTCCAGACACATGCAGGATAACACTCGCAGTTCCAGACGCATGCAGGATAACACTCGCAGTTCCAGACACATGCAGGATAACACTCGCAGTTCCAGACACATGCAGGATAACACTCGCAGTTCTAGACACATGCAGGATAACACTCACAGTTCCATAAACATTCAAGATAACACTTGCAGTTCCAGACACATGCAGGATAACACTCGCAGTTCCAGACGCATGCAGGATAACACTCGCAGTTCCAGACACATGCAGGATAACACTCGCAGTTCCAGACACATGCAGGATAACACTCGCAGTTCTAGACACATGCAGGATAACACTCACAGTTCCATAAACATTCAAGATAACACTTGCAGTTCCAGACACATGCAGGATAACACTCGCAGTTCCAGACGCATGCAGGATAACACTCGCAGTTCCAGACACATGCAGGATAACACTCGCAGTTCCAGACACATGCAGGATAACACTCGCAGTTCCAGACACATGCAGGATAACACTCACAGATCCAGACACATGCAGGATACCAATCACAGATCCAGACGCATGCAGGATAACATTCACAGTTCCAGACGCATGCAGGATAACACTCGCAGTTCCAGACACATGCAGGATAACACTCGCAGTTCCAGACACATGCAGGATAACACTCACAGATCCAGACACATGCAGGATAACACTCACAGATCCAGACACATGCAAGATAACACTCGCAGTCCCAGACGCATGCAGGATAACACTCACATTTCCAGACACATGCAGGATAACACTCGCAGTTCCAGATGCATGCAGGATAACACTCACGGTTCCAGACACATGCAAGATAACACTCGCAGTTCCAGACACATGCAGGATAACACTTGCAGTTCCAGACACATGCAGAATAACATACAAGATCCAGCAAATTCACTCATTCAACAGGAATTTTAAAGCTCACAGAATGTAATGTAAATTATTTTCTTTAAACACCTAACTTAGGTAAAAGTAATGTGGGTTTAGTTACAGTATATGATCATACATTGCATAAGCCTGCCAAAACACCAATGTACCCCCTTCTTGGCAGGTCCTATCCTAGCAACCTAATGCTTGGTCTTGTGGGATTAATCCTCTTACTTGGGAAATGCTTCCTCCTGCAGTACAAGGGCCATGAAATGAGGTACCTGTGACAGGGAGGGGTGTGGAGTTGGCATGGACTCCCAAATATATTTATATATGAAACCAAGAAACTGCATACACTGTTTAGTGAATGAGTGAATGTTCTAGGCCTTGTATGTTATATGAAATGGCTCCAATAGCACCGTTATAACAATCATGTAAATTGCCAACTGAAATATCCCATTATTGATGACAGTGTTCTTTAAATCTGTAAACGGAAGCCAACAGCAGGCTAGTATTGATATCACTACCAGTATACAGGTGTTTGTATGAGAGTGAATGATCTACTGTGTGAATGTAGAGATATCACAACATTCTTGTCTATGTCCAAGCTTGAAGCTAGTTTAGTATTACAAAAGAGCAGGTTAGAGATGGAAACATATATTACTTCAGGACCATGGAGAGCAGTAACATGTTTCTAAGTTTCATAAATGCAATGAAACAAACTAATTATAATTATTATTCAACCAACTTTACATTATTTTAAATTGAAGTTGGGAAGTTGCAAATTTATGTCAGAATAACCTAAATAGAAAATTAATTGAATTTGAGAATTATTTTCCAGTTCGGATATTGGTCTAAAATGTGCAAGTCCTTGCTGTTTGATGAATTAACCCTTAGATGTTCTTTATGGGATTTAATAACTACAAATTGCTAACTCTGAAATTAATGGGAAATGTGTCTCGCCATGTGGTATAACATCCTAAAACTATTAAGATATCATGATCTTTGGAACAGTACCTAAATTACACAAATTACACAATTCCCACCTATCAATCAAAACAAATTCAAATGGCACACTGACCGCAGTCCACTCTTTCAAATACTTGGGTATGATCTTAGACCCCAAACTATCTTTTGGCCTGCACATAAAAAAGCTTGCATCTAAACTTTATCCAAAACTAGGTGCCCTTTACAGAAACAAATCCTGCCTAAGCCCTACAGTAAAGGAGAAGATTGTACAGCAAATGCTGATGCCAATCATTGATTATGGGGATGTAATATATGCACCTGCACCGCAAACCCACCTTAATAAACTCAATACATTGTATAACTCGTTCTGCCGATTTGTGCTACAATGTAATTACAGGACCCGCCATTGTGACATGCTAAAAGAACTAAACTGGCTGTCGCTGGAATCCAGACACACCCTTCATCTTTCCAGCCTTGTGTTTAAGAGCTTTTCTGGGAAACCCCTACCCTACCTGAACAAAATGCTTTCCCCAGCTGTTCCCACTTCCTATAAGCTCCGATCCAGTACCAACACTTTACTTAGTCTACCTCAATACAAAAAGAAAGCAGCCCTTCTCCTATAGGGCACCGCAATTGTGGAACGACCTCCCGCACAATTTAAAATCTTCCCTAAGCCTAAAGTCCTTTAAGAGATCCCTCTCTACATACCTCAAAACAGAATGCTTGTGTTATGGTTGATTATATATTTCCTACCTGTTCTATGTTAGATTTTGTATTTATTGTGTATTAATATTGTTTTTGTATTTTATTGTACCGTAATGTAACAATGCAATGATTTGTGGACCCAGGACATACTTGAAAATGAGAGAAATCTCAATGTATCTTTCCTGGTAAAATATTTTGTAAATAAATAATAAATAAATCGAGAAATCTGTGTGGTCAAAAAATTATATATTTCCTATGCAAACTCCTCCGCTGAGGTCCCCTTTAAGAGGAACTTGTTCCATTCAATATCACGAACACGGCGTATGTGGACATCTTTCTGTGGCCTCTTCTGGCTTTATATACAGGAGAGTTCATAGATAATCCACCATTTATACAGAAATATAAGAAATCAATTATCTACCCACTATGGGGTTAAAAACATAGAGATTCTTAGACATTTTGTATTGGTATGTTCCTATTGATTACCAGCAAGGGATTTTCACCTTTATTTTTGACTGAGTTTACAAGTATTTTTGATGAATTATAATGTGCAAAATATCTTGCATTTTTCAACAACTGATTGCAATACTATGTGCATGTGCTACTGCTTGCATATTTCTGCATAATGTTTCTCTGTTTTTTTATTAATATTTTGCATGCATCAGTGGTATACCTGGATTCCTGGTATCCATTTCTGATTGGATTTCCTTTCACTTTCTGAAACTCAATCTCTCTAAAACTGAGTTTCAAATTTTTCCTCCTTATAATACTAATACTCCTCTTTCATGCTACCTGCAAGTTGATGGTACCTGCACCAGCCCATCCTTGCAAGCTCACTGTCCCACTCTTTTAGAAAAGCTCCCAGAGTAACCTCTATTTCACAAACCCGTCTCTTGCTCTCTCCTAACAGGCTACTACCAGGTTTTTCTCTCTTTTAAATGCCATTTGATAAAGCCCTGTGTGGTGAAACGCGTTTTGGCTATTACAAAGTCTGTTATATATATTGATAAATTATATTTTAATAAAGGAATACTGGCCCTTATTTTTTGCCTATATACTTTTAATTCCTTTTATTTTATATTTTTAATTTGAATTCCCTGGTCATCAATTTGGATTGAAGTACGCCAATTTCCAAGAATCCTAAGGTGGGGATTGTACCACCTACGCCATCATACTGAGCAGTATTTCCTGCTCATGTACATGTGAGTATTTTACCTTTTTTTATTTGTTTTTATAAACATCAGTGAGCACTATATACGTCTCTCATTTTTTATATACCGAGGAATTGTCCAGGACCCCATCGCCTATATCCTACCAGTGGGGGATTGACGCCACTGAACGCTAAGAACACTTGAGCAAGGTTTTTTTGCTCACGCCAAGGTGAGTCATTTACCTACTTATAGATCCATACCTGGAAATTTTATCGACATTCTACACTATTGGAGTTCTTCTTCCTCTTTTTTTTTTTATGCATCTACGTATTGACAAGCATTCCAAGACATTCTCAACATAAGAAGACTCAGATATCCATTTGGACTGTATACTCTCCTAGAACAACACAGGTTTATTTATATTTGGGACTTTTTTATCACTTTTATTTATTTCATTTATTTTACCTCCTTGTCCCCTTAGCGCGACCTATATACCCATTTCTGTTAATATGTATGTTTGATGATGGAATAACTTAAAACCTTTTCGATTTTTTTTTTGCCATATTCATAGTATTTATTCTAGGTCTTTTTCCCTTCCAAATATATGTTGCAAAACTATGTTGAATCATATCTAATTACCTCTTAGGAATTTTGAGTGGTAACATCATGAATAAAAAAAGACCATATATAATTATTGTTAATGATTCTACTGAACCATGATACATTCAGGGACAGCCATTCTTTCAGGGTCTTATTTGTGTATTTCAATAGGTTTAAAACATTAACTTCCATAGTTCTTTCAATATTTGCCATTATAATTTTCCCTAGATAATTTAATTATTTTTGGGTCCAAATAAAATCAAATTGTCTTTTTAGATCCTCAATAGTGCTCCTATCAATAGTAATAGTTAAGGCTATCGATTTTGATACATCAAGTTTATAATTTGATACAGCACTGTACATTTTTATTCCGTGCATTAGACATGTAAGAGAGGTGGTGCGGTGATGTAAGGGTAATCATAATATTGTCAGCATATAAATATGTTTTTATATTCTGTTCTTTGGTACAAAAACCTTTTATTAATTTCAATACATATGCTCGGTCAGGGGAAAGTGATGATGTGATTGTGCATGTGCCATAAGGAGGGTTTTGACAAAGGGAGTGGAGCAGCTGTACGAGGTACAGTTGCAAGAAAAAGTATGTGAACCCTTTGGAATGATATGGATTTCTGCACAAATTGGTCATAAAATGTGCTCTGATCATCATCTAAGTCACAACAATAGACAATCACAGTCTGCTTAAACTAATAACACACAAAGAATGAAATGTTGCCATGTTTTTATTGAACACACCATGTAAACATTCACAGTGCAGGTGGAAAAAGTATGTGAACCCCTAGACTAATGACATCTCCAAGAGCTAATTGGAGTGTGATGTCAGCCAACTGGAGTCCAAGCAATGAGATGAGATTGGAGGTGTTGGTTACAGCTGCCCTGCCCTATAAAAAACACACACCGGTTCTGGGTTTGCTTTTCACAAGAAGCAGTGCCTGTTGTGAATGATGCCTTGCACAAAAGAGCTCTCAGAAGACCTACGATTAAGAATTGTTGACTTGCATAAAGCTGGAAAGGGTTATAAAAGTATCTCCAAAAGCCTTTCTGTTCATCAGTCCACGGTAAGACAAATTGTCTATAAATGGAGAAAGTTCAGCACTGCTGCTACTCTCCCTAGGAGTGGCCGTCCTGTAAAGATGACTGCAAGAGCACAGCGACAGACTGCTCAATGAGGTGAAGAAGAATCCTAGAGTGTCAGCTAAAGACTTACAAAAGTCACTGACAAATGCTAACATCCCTGTTAGCGAATCTACAATACGTAAAACACTAAACAAGAATGGATTTCATGGGAGGATACCAAAGAGGAAGCCACTGCTGTCCAAACAAAACATTGCTGCACATTTACAGTTTGCACAAGAGCACCTGAATGTTCCACAGCAGTACTGGCAAAATATTCTGTGGACAGATGAAACCAAAGTTACATAGTTACATAGTTACATAGTTACATAGCTGAAAAGAGACTTGCGTCCATCAAGTTCAGCCTACCTCACATTTGTTTT